TATTTTGTTAAAAAGTATTCTAAACTGTATAAATAACATAAAATTAAATTGAATTGATTGGCCAATTAGACAAACTTTTGTCTATAACTTGTTCAATTGTAATTTTATATTATACATGCTTGTGTAATAGTACTTTAGAGGGGCTGCCCTGGCTGACTCTATGTAGATATGATTTACATATTATATTATATGCTCCATAACAAAAAATATATCACGGGAGGTGACAAGAACATTTATCCTTATTTTAATTTATATATTAATTACTTTAGTTCATTTTTATAGTAATATAAATATAAAATAAAATAAAAAATATTTATATTAAAAAAATTTTTTTTATCTACTAATTTTTAGTCTTTATTATTTAGTATAACTGTTATAGACTTTAATTATATTATAAATTCATTCTTGTATTAAACAAAATAATCTTATACAAACTTTAACATTAATTATTTGCCCAGATTATTTAAATCTTTTTCTAAAAATCTTTTTTATTTAAAATTTGACCAAGAAGGTTTTTAAAATAATAATTAACTTTATACTACAGATATTTAATAAAATTAAGATTGAAAAATTGGAGAGATGTAGTAACTTAGTGAAGTAGATAAGTTGTTAATCTCTCAAGTAGTAGATTGGGAGTTCAAAACTCACTGATAATAAAAATTTGAAAAACCATCTATGTTATATTAGTATTATAGGAGATAAGCAGTATTATAACAACAGCACTCCATCAATCAGTTGGGATCAGTATCTGTAACACAGTTACATTAGATGACTGGTAGGTTATAGAATATTTGTACAATGTTGGTATTATATAGAAATGCAAACTGACATTAGATAGTGCAAACCCAAGATAAGTTCTTATTGCTGTATAAATTTGTAAACTGAAAAACCAAAGCCCACTTGAAAAGACCTGAGTAGAGAAGTAGCACAGATCTTTGATAGTACTACTGTAAAGACTAGATCTAAAAAACTGATATTAATATGAAAGAAATCAGACAGGCAAGAATCTCAGATAATGAGTATTATTAACCAGATCACTGAAAGTCTTGAACTAGAAGAAAAAGATCTTGAAAGGCAGACTCTAAAATACTAGAGACAGGTCATAGTTCTATTAGGCTATCTGGATTGGAAGTTTAAGATTGAAAGCAAAGATATACTATAAGTACTAGGAATATGCTATAAAGTTGGTACTAGGATCTGAGTAAACTCTGCAAGGGCAAGCCTTGTTAACAAAAGACTAAATATGAGTAGTTAGTTAGCAGGAGGTCCTTTGAAGCCCTACAGTCAGGTAATATACTTTGAAATATATAACAGCTTAACAGATGTACAGATAGAAAAATCTTAGTTAGATTAGATAACACTTAGATGTATGAGAACCTGTGTACTATTTGTCAATATAAGTATAAAGATCAGTGTGTTTAAATAGGTAATCTCCTAGTAGATTGCAGGTATGACAGGTAAACTACTTAAAATAAACAACCAAAAGTTGTACATATAGCTAGCTATATACTCATCTTGTACAAGTTATATAATTATAATTAAAATACAATAAAGACAATAGTCATTAATAAATACAGCCTTAGCATAAGCAAAAAAAAAGATTGAAGAATTGGAATAACTAATAAAAACCTAATCTTATTTCTTTTAAGTCAATATTTTATCAAAATTGTTATATAACAAAATATACTTTATTAGAATATGATATTCTTAATATCAAAAAATTATAATCTTTAATAGTTTATATCAAATTTTTACTAAGTATTACTAGTATAATTTATTATTTATTATATTATTAATCTTGCAATAGCTACTAATATTATAAAAAAAATAATTCTAAATAATAACTAAATTATTTTTAAATCTATTGTTGATTTAATATAAAATAATTTAATAGTTTTTTATAATGTTTTCAATAATATTACTTATTATCTGATCTAAAAATTTGAAATTATAATTTATCAGACTAAATTACTTTAAAACAATTTTCAATAATCTAATTTTAATATTTTTTTTTTGCAATTTTAAATCATTATTTTTGATAATTATTATTTATATAAGACTTTTTTTTCTTAATTTTCAATAACAAACTATAATTACAAAATATGCAATAGATAATCACTATCAAAATTTTCATATTTTCATTTATTTTGAAACATGTTCTTATTTCAATAACAATAAAACAATAACAAGAGGTAATGAGATCAATTATTCTTCTTTGAATTGATTTATCCAATAAAATTAGGTAATCAATTCTTTCCAATCTTTAAGCAAGTAATTTGCTAACTACCTTTTTAATACATGAGACTATATAATAACTAATATTGTGAACCCAACCTATGACTCTTATGATATATTTTTTCTGAAATGAAAACAATATTTGAGTTCATTAGATATATGCTGTTCAATTCTTTTTTTTGTTTTCTTGATTATCAATAAATGCTAACATAGTACAAAATGCAAAAATCAACAAAAAAATTTACATTTTTATATTTATTTGCATAGTGCAAATTGCGCCGTCTGAACTTTGTCAAAAACGATTAAAAATAATGCAACACGTGTTTCGTGATACACACGTAATTATTTTTGCTTTGGCAATATCAATGCTTACTTAAATTCTAAAATTAAAAAAAGATGCTATTTGCATTAAAAAAAAAAAAAATAGACAGATACGCCCGGAATTGCGTAAGATAGTACGATCTAACTATATTTTTTTTGTTGCATTATTTATGATTGCCACTGTATATAAAAACTGATTTCACTCTTACATGATCATAGTGGATTCTACTAGCTAGCGATGCAGGTTTTACCCTGTCGTAAAGTTATAATAACTGGGCTAGTTTAAACGAAGATAACTTTACCAACAAGATTAAAGTTTAAGGATCTCTTGGATCTATAGTTTTGTAGAGTTATAAAATATTCTTAAACATCGATATTGATCAAATTACCGCCATTTAAATTCAGAAAAATACCACTTAAGATAAAGCAAGTAGTCGGATAAATTTTCAACCAGCCATGTCAAGAAAGATGTGTTTAATTTGTTTGCAAATTATGAATGTTTATAAGTCTTTAATAAGTAAATTAGTATAATGATTATAATATATAACTAGGAGATCTTTATATGTATACGTATATATATGTATAGTGTATATTTTATATATTTTATCGTAATTTTTGGGTAAAATAATCATTATTATATTTATTTATATTTCCATTTAACCTTTGTTAATGATCACCTGATATCATTCGGGTTTTGCTTTACCTTAGTACAACCTACTAAAACAAGAAAATTGAATGGGAACTAACTTGTTTCTCATAGGTGATAGGTTCTTTAAAGAAATATTGATTGAAGCCGATTGTCTTACACATATTAACTTAGGGGATCATTCCCCATTGATGTTGCAACAAATGTTAAATGGATGTTGTCGATAATCAATTCTAAATAAGGATCAATAAAAGAACTCCGATATTTAATCTAAGCACTCATAAATTTGAATTGCAAACACCTTTCTCTTTCTTCACATAATCTTTTAATTGAAGGGGTCGAAATACTGTATTCTGCAAAAATATTTCAAAAAGGATGTCCTGTGTTTTCGAAGAAAGCATAGAAAGACTCCCGTTTGAAGTTTTACAATATATATTTGTCCTTGCAAAGAATCCGGATCTTGCTCTTGTATCACGTACATTTCACCATGTTTCTACTTCACAGACAAGTGTAAAAACTCAATGGTTAATGCGAAGATATAATAACGATTGTGAACGAGCGTTATCTCGAGGGTTAAAGTGGAAGTTTTTCAATAAAGACGTTCTGAATCAATTGGATTTATTATATTCCAGGCTTAATGGTCAAAATGTTATTCCTTATGCAAATCGACCGATTCCTCAATGGTTTTTCAAGGAGCCGGATCCCACTGGCCGAATTTATAACCTAGCTAAAATTTTACTTCTTGAACGTGGTGCATCACCCAACGAATCCAATGGTTATCCAATTATACAATCTGCTCGTTTAGGAAAGATTGAAATGGTAAAATTATTGATAGAGGCTGGTGCTAAAGTCGATATTCAAGATAATATGGCGTTGTCAGTGAGCGTTAGACAAAATAATATTGAAATGGTCAGATTATTGTTAAAGCACGGTGCTAAACCGGCTAAAACAATTCTAAAGAATGCAATAGAAAAAAATTATATCGAGATTGCTCAATTGCTAATGGAATATGGAGCCGAACAGGATGTTGGTACAGTTAACGCCTTTTATCAAACAGTCACAGAAGACAGGAGAATGAACAATGATAACAATAATCGAATTGGAGGTTGATCATAGCATTAGCATATTTTTATGATTGCCTCGTAAATATGATTTAAATAATGCATTTGTGTTAAATATTCCTAGTAAAATAGATAATTTATACATGTTAAAATTTTGTGGTGGTAGTTATATGCAACATTTGTCAAGATTAAAAAATTACGGCATGTAATTCAATTTATTTGTCAAAAACTGAATAAGCGAATCTATTTATTAATTGTAAAAGTTCTATTTCTTTTAAATAAAGAACAAAAAAGTTTTAGCAAAATACATTGTACACGAGAAAACATTTGTAAACCTTATCTAATTATATCTGCCAATGTTATTAGACTTGAAATTAGCTATGTATTATAAATGGATTAAAGCCACAACTAATGGCTCGTAATGGAAAAGATAAGATTGAACCAATGGTCAATCCGACTGCCAAGAAGACTGACAGAAGCATTCCTGTAAGATCCTTTTCAACATCAGTCACTTGTGGACCAGCCATCATCGCCAAGGATCCAACATAGCCATTAGAAACAGAAAACACAAAGATTACCAAAAAATATAGCAAATCGTTATTGACTAATAATGGTAAAATTCTTTTCCCATGTAATCCAGCGTCAACGTTGCACAGCAGTAGGATTGGTATGAAAATAACGCGACTAATTGACATAAATGCTATTTGATTCTGATCGGTTATCACCAATGCTTCTTGCGATGGTAGAGATCTGCCCAGCAAGTCTCCAAAATTGTAAACCAAGAAATGTAATGGTATAAATAAATAATCGTATTGAAACTTGTTTTTTCTATCATCAGGAGCCACAGATTTGATGAATGAGGTTATAGAAGGAAAAACACTCAAGGTCACACAAAAAACAAGAGCTACCGCAAAAATTAGCTTATAAATTTTGTTAAATGTGCCTTTAAAAGATCTACCTATTAAATTGTTGTCTATGCTTCGATCCACGTAATATATATAAAGGGGCAAACGGATAAGAATGAAATACGAAATTAATGAAAAAAGTATGACAGCAAAAGCGAAAAGAAAATAAATAAAAGTGCTGCATGTTAAACTTTCGTCGACTTGAATTTTATTTGGTGATCGTTCAACAGCAAGTGCGCTAATAATTTGAGAAAGTGACATAATAAGGCCAGCCAACCCTAAACAAAGTTTCAAAAAAATTTTATTACCTTTCAAGAAAAGTAAAAGTTATGAGAATTTAACTTCTAACATACCTTGACCACTTAATCAGATAACGAGTTCATTTAGAACAAGTGTTAGCATAGATAGAGAAAAATAAAATAAATACTTTTCAAAATCTCATTACCTCATTACAGCTTGGGTGTATTTTGGAGGAAATAAAGCTACGATCCCAAATATTGCATTGTGCTGAAAAGCGGTTGATATTCCAACAAGAAAGACAAACGTGATAGTAAAATAAAAGTATCCTGTTGGTGTAAATAACTCTAAGAATTGTGTGGATACTAACATAGCAAAGAAAGTAAAAGCAGCGAGATTAAGGGAGAAGATCAATCGGGCCGAAACATTCTCCTGAATCGTAATAAAATTAGATATAAATAGATATTTAACTGCTTAAATATTAATAAAAACCAACCGTCGTTTGTGTAAACAGAGAGTAGGTGAGAAATAATAATGTTGTTCCCATATTAACAACAGAGAAATAATTCTGAAAATCATCGGCATAAGGAGATCCAAGGAATCTAGAGTGAAAGAAGACTGATGCAGTAATAAATACTACAAAGGAATTTAATATCAATGATGATGTACAAAGTTTTATATATAATGGTTTAATAATTTTCTAAGATTTATTCACCATTCCAGCCTAGAAGCATTGAGATGCCTTGAAGAAAAAAGATAAAATAAACAATTCGATATCTGTCTTTAGGAGGAGGAATGCTTAATAAAGCTTCCTGCTGACTTGATATATCATTTCCATTCGCCACATATCCGTCGTCATTATCGATAAGGTAATATTTATGTGAATCATGTTTTAAGAGTCTTGAATTTGACATTATAATTAGTAAAGAGACGATCAGCGTTAAATGCGTTAAATGCAATATCGATATTTGTAATAAACCACTTATGTAATTAAATTAAACGATTAACCAATTAAAGTCATGAGAAGAGTTACACTAAATTCATAACATCTTTCTGTCGCGTCTCGTCTCGTAAAAGCTCGCATAATTTTTTATAACAAGTCATTTATTCATTTTAAACAAAAATTTTTTTAAAAAATTTACAGATTTGTTCGTTTCTTATAACATTCTTTTTAACATTTTATATATTTTTTTTTTGCCTTAAGCAAAATCTGAAGTCAAAGAAACGCTGACGAATAAAACGAAGATACTGTAAAATTCAAGAAAATACACGGTAACACCTATTTACACCGAACACCATCTCTATAGAAAAAGCACACCAACTTTTGATCTTCATTTTCATTGAATTAAACACTAACAAAAGATCAAATACACCAGAAAAATAAAATAAAATAAAATAAAATAAATGTTCGTTCCCAAACCACCTATCCATATAATCATTGTTTGTTATATTTTCGTCTATCGTGTGTTTTCTCCAACCTTTCCATTTTCTTCCATAGCTCCTCAGCTAACTTTAATGATACGGGCCGGTTGTTGCTATTTTCCGCTCCATCAACACTTTCCATTCTTGTCGCTGCAGGACAATGAGTCAAGATAAACTCACGAATTTGAGCTACCCGAAGAAGTGCTCGGTTATATGAAATAGGATTAGGAAAGGTATAAGGATGAAAGTATGTTGTTTCCGAAACACTCACGGTAGAAGTTGTGATTGATACCGTTTCTTGACGCTCAACCTCATCGTTACCTTGACTATTGGAACGCTTTGTTGGTGAAGTAATCTTTTGTAATTTGCAAGTTGGTTTTGATTGAGTTTGTGAACCTATAAAAAATTTTATTTATCGAAAATTAACATAAGTTAAAATATCATTATAGAAGTTGTGTCAAGAAATAATTGAATGATTCTCGTATGTACGGACATCCTTTTCTGTGGTATTATTATTTCTAACCTTTTTACAATCAACGTTATCAGTTGTATTCAACACCTACAACTTCGATAATATTACACAAATATTGTATCCGGTCCTTAAACCCTATGTTGTATTGACCATCAATATTTGTGTTTTTAAGATTCTACAATTGTATCTCTTAACCCTTCAAGTTTCACATCCTACCTTGAACACCATGCGGACTATGGTTATTGTTGTCATGTTCCGCTTCTGTCGTTGGATTTGTACCGTTCTCCAAAATATATGGTTCTGGAGACGGTATATGTGACATTCCATTATTACTTTTTAATTTTTTGTGTGACGTAGAACCACTACTGCGTGAAGAAGACGCAGAGGAAATTGAGAGTTTTCTATTTGGGGTATATTCTTTTTCGCTATTAAAGAAATATATGTGGTAAGAAATTAAACAATTTATTTACAGAATAGCACTTTTTAATAAACGAATTGTACAGTGTGACGTCAACTCGTTCAGTGACTTGGGACAACGAAAAAAAAAAAAAGAGGAACAAAAAGACATTAAAGCATAATAAAGAAAAAAATTATATACATTACACACCTAGACGAATGTTCTAGTATGTCTAATTCTTTACATTGTATACAGTAATAGTCTTCAGAAAATTCGCCATTATCGTCTAGTTGAATTCTAACACATGCTGTATGGTACCACTTTGAACAACTGTCGCATTGTATCCACCGTCCATCAACGCCTGTATGAAATAAGCAAACGTAATAATTTGGACGTTAGAAATTTTTTGGAGTTCAGGAGTGAGAACGAAGGTAGGTTTGTAAATTGTGCAAGTGCCAATTTTGTCTTCCTAGAAAGCGAATTAGCAACTGCTACCTAAAGCATAAAAATAAACGACCAACTTGTAACATGAAAAAGTATTTCAGAACTTACTTTCTTCTTTTTTACATTTCGTACAAAGGTTATTAGTTGTTAGTTTCTTCGTCGACAATTTTGCGGGTTTGTTGTTCGCAAAGGAAGAGTCATGAACACTGTCTTTCCTTACACGACCCATTTTTTCTGTCGATTTGGACGGATATGGGTATCAATTGTAGGTTACCATACGGTAATACCACGGTGTGACCGCATCTTACTAAAAAGGAATAGCGCGTACAAGTAGGCTTTTTTATGGATAAATTGAAAAATTGCGACATTTGCGATTACACAATCTACTAATGGGTGACTAAGCTTTAAAGTTTAGGTGACAGTATAAAGGTTTGTGATGTGCGAAATTAACACCGGAGTTGTAAAGACGATAAATGAATTTATGATATAAACAGTTGATAACAAATAATTTAATTTTCAATTTAGATCGATCGCAGCAAAAAAACGGCGGACATGTTTTATAACAATGCGTAAGTCATAATGATAATCAAAACAATAAAACAATGATATTATTATCGATCACCAAAATGTGTATATATTTGTATATGTATAATTTTTTTAAAGTGAAATTAAACGAACATCCATGGAGGAGGCAATGCAGATTCGATTTTTATAATGGCCGCAGTTTCACAACCACCTATTTTTTATGCTTTGTACAACTTCCGGAAGATTTAAAAGGGCTCGAGCGCTGTCACATGTTATTAACTCAATCACCAATATAGTTTTTTTGCAAAAATCCGATAGTTTAAACTTTAGAAATTTTAAAAAGCCTTGGATATTTCACAAATGTATATATTTAACCTTAAATCAAGTTTCAAATTAATTTTTAATTTGCAATTATTAATATATTTAAAACAAACCCGAATGTTATATCGTTATAAACCTTTTAATAATGCAAGATTAAATTATATTTGTAACGTTTAACATAGTATATTGTGTAGTATAAAGATAATTATATTATTAGTAAATTGGTTAAACATTAGATTAAAAATTACGGTATTACGAAAATGCACCATAGGTGTGTAAAACCATAGTTGCTATATTTCAAAACTGTCTAATTAACCAAGGTTAGATATATTAAATAAAAAAACCTTATATTAACAAATTTGATTTTTTATATTTAATTTTTATTTTAATATATAATTATATTTTAATTTTTAAATTTAGTAAAAAAAATATTAATACTATAAATATTATAATTAAATTATTATATATACATATGATTGGGTTTGGATCTTGCAGCTTAGCAGTTAAGTTTTCAAGCTTTTATAAACAAAGGTTAACAGTTTAAGATAGGTTAGAAGCAAAAAATTAAGTTTTGTTTCTGTAATCTATAGAAGCTAAAAAATAGAATACAAAGTCTTGTAAAAGTTTAAATGCAAGTACAAATTTAAAATAAGAATTTTTAAAAAAAAAACTCAATTATAAAATAATAATATTATGTATAATAGTAATATTATAAAAAGTTTTGGTTATATTAAGATTGCATTTATACTTTGAGAAAAGGGTAGCATTAATATCTTTGTATCTTTTAATTAAATAATACCAATATCTTATATCTAATTTATAAAATATTTAATTAAAAAAAATAAACAAATTGTACAAATAAGATTAAATTTCAAATACAGAATTTAATTAAAAAAATAATTACAAATTATATAAATAAGATTAAATTCCAAATACAGAATTTAATTAAAAGAATAATTTAAAAATAATTAAAACTAAAATGATAAAAAAAATAATAAACACAAACAAGCTTAGTAAAAGATAATTTTATTAAAATTAAAAACATATTTGATAATATATAATAAAAATATTATAAAAATTAATATATTTAGCTTTTGTAACCTATAAGGAGCCTGTAATTGAATATGAAGCCTTGTAATCAAGTTTAAGTGCAGTATATAACAGAAAAAGGAATTTCTAGAAGAAAACTGATTTTGCAAAATGTGGGCACTACATATGACAGTAGCATCACTAAAAGTTCTATTATGCAAAGAATTGCACATGTAAGTTTTCTAAATAGAACAGTATCAATATCTTTGCATCCAATTTGTGAAGTGTTTGATTAGAAAGGTAATAGCAAGATAATATGAACTGGAATAATGAGAAAATGATGCATGTATAAAAGGTTTATGATAAAATATTAGCTTTATCAAGATTAGAAACATCTCTGATATTGTAGAACATCTAAGAATAGAAGGTAGTCATCTATATAGAGAAATTGTAACCTATTCTGTATATCTAAAGGTTCTAAATCAGAACTTTGGTCATATCTATATAAAAGTTTATGCTAAAATAAGTAGAATACATCAAAATAAATACTGTATCAATTATGGTTGAGATATCTAAATTGGAAGTTGAAACTTCTAGAACTCTGTATTAGTAATGGAAACATCAGTCTATAGCTAAAAGAAAATATATATTATTTCTGAAATAGAGTTCTATCTATATTATAAAAGAGAGTACTTAAGAGACAGATTAAATGTACAATCTGTTGAACATAATACTAAGATCAAGAAGGGTTACAAACCAGCAGTAATAGCAGAAACTTGGCTTAAGATATATGTAACCAATATCTGAATTGGGAAATTAGTAGCAATAACAAGAACCTGACTTGAAATATATACTAGAAAGATACCCTTCAAGCAAACTAAAGATAGTAGCTCAAAAGGAGTGAATGATCTAATGAACCAATTTAAAAGTTGTTAAAATAAGTTATAAGATATGAAGGAATATGCAGATTATCTAATATAATTAGTAGTAAAACATAAATTCAGATTAGATGTAAATAAGACATAATATCAAACTTTGGTAGGTTTAGATTACAGATAAATATATCTGAGTCCTATGTCTGAATAGATATATAGTGATAGATAATGTATAAATAGATTTGTATTAGCTATAATGAATATACTAATAAAAACTAAAAGGCATAACCTCATCTTAATACCAAAAAAAAAAAAAAATTAAGGTTAATATATAAAAATTGTCTAATATTCAAAATAGATTTAAAGAAACTAAGTTAGATTTTAGTTATATTTATATAAAAATTAATAATAAACAAGTTTAAAATTTGTTAATCTTTGAAATTTATATATTTATCTTTTTTTGTTATTAAGATAAGATCTTGCTTATATCTTTTATTAATAGTTTTATGATTAGTAACTATATAGAGTTACTAAGTACAAATAATAATTTTATATAAATATTATAACTAAGATTAACACTTGCACTTAGAATTAATCTTTAAACTGTTAACTATATATAACTAATTCTAAATACAAAAATAAAAAAGCTATATATAAAAATAAAAGTTAAATATAAACTAAATTTATTAAAGTAATTAAAACTTATCTAGATTTGAATTATTAAAATATAATTAAATTATATATTATATTTAATCTATAAATAGTTTATATATTGATTTTTCTAATAACATAACTGATAAGCAAATATGTATTAGTATTAAAATATATATGATTAAATAAACTATATAAAAATAAATCTTTTCTCTACTAAAGTACAAATGTATATTATGCTTTTTTTACTTGTTTTTTTTTTAATTTTTAACAAAGATTTCAAATATGACCTATGTAAGTAAGGCATATTCAGGATTTTTGTTAAAAAAAAAGTTAGTTTACTTTATTAAAGCATAATTCTTTGTTGCACTTTTTTTTTATAAATAACAGAGATCCTAAATTGATTGCATGGCTTATATAATAATAGAAATAGTATGTACAGTATATATATATATATGTATATATTTAATATATATATAGAAAACTGTATTATAGATCAAATTCTATAATATATATATATCAAATATATATAACATAACTAAGGTTTGAAATAGACTAGACCAAACTTGCAGGTTTTAGAATCAGGTCAGGCTTAAGTCTAAGTCAGGCCTAATTTTTAAAAGTTTGTTGTAAAGTAGGTTGGGTTCAGATTAGGTTTATTAATTATTAAGACCAGGTTAGATTTAGTAAACAGGCCTAGTGTAATCTAATAATACTCAATAAAACCTTATTAGGTCATCATTACAGATATTACTGCAACTATTTACTAAAAAATTTAGATAATATTAATATAAAAACTTTAATTACAGGTTTAAATCTAGTATATCAGCATAGTTAAATCCTATATAAATATATTTTATATTTACTATATAGTCTAAATGTAATTAAACTTAATTAAGTTAATCAATTTACACTTATTTATATAAATTAAAAAAGTTTTTTAATGTCAGAATGTTTAAAAATTTAATATTGATTTTTTTCTTTAATACTTAAAGATTTTTTTTTTTTTATAAGACATTAGTATTTTTTTTTTTTGATAAACAAATAAAGTAACTTTTTAAATACAAAAATAAAAAAAAAACATGTGAAAATAAAATATTTTAAAACTCATATAAAAGAAGATTGAGAGGATAGCGATCCTAATGTAGTGGTTGGGTTGTCATCCTCCAAGTGGCAGGTCTAAAGTTCAAATCCCACCTACGATGAAATTTGGAAATTATATTTGTGTTATGGTAACTGTCTCCTGTCGATCGGTTGGCCTCATGTGGCTATTACTCAGGTACACCAGGCTGGGTCCCCCCGGCTTTGGAAGCTCAAGGCATCTATGCGAAATGTAATGTTACACATATATAGAGGAATGTTACTGGTGCTGCATAAGACTTCAGTACAAACCCATGATAAGTCCATCAGGCATAGAAGACTAAGGAACTGAGATGACAGAAATCCACTTGGAAATTCTCGAGTAAAGAGGTAATATGAACTTTCGACGATATTATTGGACCAGTTGAAGCACATGAAACACTATTATAGGAACCGAAAATTAAAACTGGACAACAAATATGCATAGAGAAGCACATAACCAACCAGGCTGCTGGGTTCGCTGGAGGAAAAGAATACAGAAGTATACCATACCAGGCCATCTGGATTGGTAGTCTGGATAAATAAGACTGATAGTTCTGAGTTGCAACTAGTAGGAGATGATGGAGAAGATTTCGAAAAGATGTGTACTGGGGTTCTAGTAAACTTTACAAGAGTAGATATAGTATAATGTAGTGGTTAAACAGGTAACTTCTATGACTGCAAGTGTTAGGTAACTATAGTGTGTTGC